CAGCGCATTCTGGGTGTTCGTGTACTGAAATCGGAAAACGGTAATAAACATCAAACATGGCTGCTGGATTAGTTTACCGCGAGTATTTGTAATTGAATAATATTTTAGTTATCTTTTCCACGTACTTTTTTCAATTTATCTATTTTTTATGTCTAATCTTTCGAGAACATATCAGATTCTTTTATTTTGCCGATTGCTAGCATTTTTTTCTTGAATTCCAAAACAATGTGTGAAAACGCAACGTACATGCATAAATGCATCTTACCGTCCGTCGGCACGGGTGAGTACTGATGCCACAAATAAAAATGTTATGGATTTTGTTTTGACAAATTGTCTGTTTTGGCTTCGTGGGCAAATCATCTCGTATATTTTCTACCTTATAACTCAATTATGTTTTGTACTTGCTCTTGATTACTCGAATTGCATTTCATGAACGCAGAATAATTTGCGAACGCATAAATCACCGATTTCAAACTTTTTGCATTTCGTAAATATTGATAGTGACCAATCTGTTTGTATTGCAAAAAATTGTAACATGTTCCAATTAAATTAAATTAAAAAGAGAATAGTAAATAACTTAGTGTGTATTGCAGTTCATGTCATAAATGCGAGAATGCTGTATGTAAATGATATGCAAAATAATATGCAAATTTATGCTAATTAGGCCGCCCACCAGCTAATGTGGATTGTGGAGAACACTGACAAAATTTTAATTTCAAGTGATCACAAGTTATGCTCTGTCTGATGTATGTGTGAAGTTTGAAATTGAATCATCCAGGCATGTCAGATATACGGATCCGAAACTGCATTGTTTGAAACAAAATGGCCATCTGTCGGTCATTTTAAACTTGATCAAAAAAAATTACATTCATCAAGATCCCATTGTGTTCAATGTATGTACCAAGTTTAAACCAAATCCGTTCCATATGACCGAGATTCAGTTCCGGAATGGTGAAAATAACACTATAGTTGAGTGAAAACACATACACGTTGAAAAAATCTGTCAACAAAGAAGCTGCTCTCTGATTGGTCCGACTGTAACGTTTTAGGGTTGGGTAGCCAATCAGATACAATCTCTTGACTCAGACACATTGGAAGCATATGACCGGATTTATTAAATTTTAGAATTAGTGGGGTCAATGACCTCTACTGGTTAGAATACTTCAATTACTGTACAGAACAGAACAAAAAAAATATAAAAAGTAAATACAATACATATGGCATACAATGTTGCCATGGAAATATCCTAATGACGTACACTAGTTTCCCTTGGCAACAGCTCAAGCAACATCAGACAAAGAAAATTATTATACCTTTCACTGGTTCATGTATTCAAATACACAACGCTGAGTAAATGTGTCACTGCAGTTTATCAATACCAACACATACTGCAAAATGCTCTAATTTTAAGGAAGAATGAATTGTTGTTGAATTAACATCTTGGCCTTTTTTGCATGAATGTGAAATATAGAGAGAGAAACGTATTTTCATTGAATTTTATGTTATTTTCAATGATTTATTTTCTTGGCGACAATAAATGCCAATTGTTAATAAAATACTTATACAGTAATGTAAAGTCATTATATGTACTAATGGGGGATAATCCATTATCAAACATTAGTAACGTTCACACAGAGCTTCTTAGCACGGGCTAAGAGGTCAATATCTTAACCCATGCTAAGAAAACGTGCATGAATACTTAGCACGAGCTGAGAACCGCGCTAAGAACTGATTAAATCTGGTCGTTTTTATAGATCTCTACACAGGCTAACAAAGTGTGCATGAATGTTTAACTCTGGTTAAGCGCCAAAAACGCCATTGTATTCAATGGTCATATGGAAGATTTACTATTATATCCATAACTCTTCATTTCGGTATGCCATTTCCGACTTGACGATCAACGCAAACACATAACTGTAACCTGTCTGATAGTATTTTTGGCCCAAATGAAGCCATAGAATGCTCCATTTTAACTTAGAATTATCAAAAACTCCACACCCTGGTAGGGAGAACCCTATTTCCCCCACTTGGTAGTGCCGCTGAATTGCGGTGCTCCCTCTCTTGTAGTTTTTTTCTAGAAAAACCCCTGGTAAAGTGTCTGGGAAATGAGGAACAATACCTCGTTTTTAGATGAGCCTTGCCCTAAGTTTATGATTTTGTAGCAAATTTATGACAAACACAGCATTACTATCCAGTGAGGAAAAAAAAAGAATATTTCTTGTTTAGACCCTACTAAACTTTTGGCACTTCCTGGAATAGAACACCGGGAAATCCATCGACTTTTTGCTAATCCAGAGAGATATCAGTGTTTCTTTTCAGAACAGCTCAGAGAATCCACGTCAGGCTCACAACTACTCGTAATCACAGAGCAGGCACGACAATAAAATGTTAAGTGGCTGATGGTTGTAATATAACCATAACCGAAAACACCAAACCTGTTTTTTTTTTGCCACAGTACCCAGTAGTCTAGGTAGAAGTAAGATGTTGAATAATTTTCAACTATAAGAATGCGTTGAATTTCACAGTTGAGAAGACACCCATTGTTAAAGCAAACTTTTATTAAACTGATCCAGTATATAGAACCACTGAAGAGCACCAAGGTGAATTCACTGGGCATGAAAAAAAGCAAGCGTCATCAATCAAAGCACAGCTTTTGAAAATGACCTTTGAGCTGAAATTGCCTCTCTTGAATTCAGCCAGTGCTTATGGTCTCATGTCACCAATTAGTCTATTAGCTTTCATAGCCATCAAAATCTTATGGTTGTTAGCCAATGTTTAACACATTTTATCTAAAATGTGAAGTACGAGGGCATACTTACATCACACATGTGTTTTAGTTTATTAACAAGTACTATTGACCTGTGGATCTGGACAAGTACCGGTGACCTGTGGATCTGGACAAGTACCGGTGACCTGTGGATCTGGACAAGTACTATTGACCTGTGGATCTGGACAAGTACTATTGACCTGTGGATCTGGACAAGTACTATTGACCTGTGGATCTGGACAAGTACTATTGACCTGTGGATCTGGACAAGTACTATTGACCTGTGGATCTGGACAAGTACTATTGACCTGTGGATCTGGACAAGTACTATTGACCTGTGGATCTGGACAAGTACCGGTGACCTGTGGATCTGGGCAACTCTTGATTAGACACTTCAAAACTGACTGCTTTTCTGAAAAAGCCTGATGTGGTTTGTGTGTTTTGTTTACGTCTATTTTGTAGAAGTTTGAGCTGGCCAACATGTGTTTCCTGGTCAGAATTCTATTACGTACACATGTAGTTTCAAAATCAATATTTTGATCTTTGTAACCTGTTTTTTTTTTTTTTACTCGAACTCTAACATTGGCAGATCTAATTAGTGATATGAGCACCGAATGAAGTTACACTATTACTGTAAACTTTATTTTTAGCTGGAATTAATTTTCGTGGAAAAGACTTTTTGGTGTTTTGTATGAAATTTGTTTTTACTAATTTTTGATGAGTTGAATGTAAAATATAGGAAAAAAGGTACATTCGCTGGATTTGATTTTCACTGG